GGGGGGACTCTGGGGCCATCCCAGGGGGAACAATGTGGGGGGCACAGATCCCACCCCGGTGTCCCGGGCACAGATCCCAGCCCGGTGTCCCGGGCACAGATCCCAGCCCGGTGTCCGTCCTTTCCCAGCTGGAAAAGGCTTCTGGGCCGAGGTGCTGGGGGTCGGAGATTTCTACTACGAGCTGGGGGTGCAGATCATCGAGGTGTGCCTGGCGCTGCGGCACCGCAACGGAGGTGGGCAGGCGGGGGAGCAGCTGATCCGGGATCCGTCCCTGATCCCGGGGATCCATCACTGACCCCAGGGATCCATCCCTGATCCGGGATCCATCCCTGATCCCGGGGATCCATCCCTGATCACCTGATCCATCCCTGATGCCGGATCCATCCCTGATCCCGGGGATCCATCCCTGATGCCGGATCCATCCCTGATCCCGGGGATCCATCCCTGATCCGGGATCCGTCCCTGACCCTGGGGATCCATCCCTGATCCCGGGGATCCATCCCTGATCACCTGATCCATCCCTGATCCGGGATCCATCACTGATCCCGGGGATCCATCCCTGATCCCAGAGATCCATCCCTGATCCAGAATCCATCCCTGATCCAGGATCCATCCCTGATCCCAGAGATCCATCTGCCCTGACCCCAGGGCCCCCTGGCGCCAGGGATCCCCCATTCCCTGATCCCAGAGATCCAGTCATGATCCCAGGGATCCATCCCGGATCCCAGAGATCCATCCCTGATCCAGGATCCATCCCTGATCTGGGATCCATCCCTGATCCCAGGAATCCACCCCTGATCCCAGGGATCCATTCCTGATCCAGGATCCGTCGCTGATCCCAGGGATCCATCCCTGATCCGGGATCCGTTCCTGATCCCGGAGATCCATCCCTGATCACCTGATCCATCCCTGATCTGGGATCCATCCCTGATCTGGGGGATCCATCCCTGATCCAGAATCCATCCCTGATCCAGGATCCATCCCTGATCCAGGATCCATCCCTGATCCCAGAGATCCATCCCTGATCCCAGAGATCCATCTGCCCTGACCCCAGGGCCCCCTGGCGCCAGGGATCCCCCATTCCCTGATCCCAGAGATCCAGTCATGATCCCAGGGATCCGTTGTCCCCCGATCCCCGGGGATCCCAGGGATCCACCATCACTCCGTGGGAAGAGGGAGCAATCCGAGGGATCCCAGCCTTCTCCAGAGGGCCGGGATTCCCGGCGGGGACGTTCTTCATCCCACAAGGACTCACCCGGGAACGGGCCTGAGCTCCGGAAAACCCATAAACCCCATAAAATCCCAAAAATCCCATTAAAATCCCAAAAAATCCCGTAAAAATCCCAAAAAATCCCATTAAAATCCCCAAAAAATCCCCAAAAAATCCTATAAAATCCCAAAAAAATCTCATAACATCCCAAAAAATCCCCATAAAATCCCAAAAAACCCCAAAAAAATCCCATAACATCCCAAAAAATCCCCATAAAATCAAAAAAAATCCCCAAAACATCCTATAAAATCCCAAAAAATCCCGTAAAGATAAAAAAAAAAATCCTATAAAATCCCAAAAAATCCCGTAAAAATCCCAAAAAATCCCCATAAAATCCCATAACATCCCAAAAAATCCCCATAAAATCCCAAAAAATCCCATTAGAATCCCAAAAAACCCCAAAAAAATCCCATAACATCCCAAAAAATCCCCATAAAATCCCAAAAAATCCCATTAGAATCCCAAAAAACCCCAAAAAAATCCCATAACATCCCAAAAAATCCCCATAAAATCCCAAAAAATCCCATTAGAATCCCAAAAAACCCCCAAAAAATCCCATAACATCCCAAAAAAATCCTATAAAATCCCAAAAAATCCCGTAAAAATCCCAAAAAATCCCATTAAAATCCCCAAAAAATCCCCAAAAAATCCTATAAAATCCCAAAAAAATCTCATAACATCCCAAAAAATCCCCATAAAATCCCAAAAAA